AGCATTCGCAGTTGTCACTCCCACAGTGGGAAGATGATGGATGCACAGGCTGGGTAAAGGAGGTCTGGCAGGGTACCAACAGCATCTGCCATACCCCCTAGTCAAGTGGGACCTCTGACAGATGTAAACTATGTGGTTCTTGGCCCATCCTGCACTGACCTACCCTAAGCCCACAGCTGCCCTGCTGCCCTTGGAGGCGGTCCTGCCCATGGCAGTCTCAATTTCAGTGAGTGGAAAGAAGTCCAGACACCCACCCTCTACCCAGGGAGGGACTCTGAGTCCTACCCCCTCACTAAGGGTCCCATAGATGCCTGACCTTACAGATGGGAGCTTTAACCAATATTCCCATTTAGTCCTCAGAGTTACCATTTTACAGGTGGGAAGACAGAGGCTCAAAGGGGTAAAGTGACTCCACGAAGGTCAAGCAACTCGTGAGCGGAGGAGCTGGGATTGAAACCCAGATCTGAGCGACTCCCTGCCTGGTTCCTTCCCCGTGTGTGAACCGCCTTGGAGCTAAGCCCTTCCTGCCCACCATAAGAGACTGGCACATCCAGGGCCATCTATGTGCCCCACAACAGGGCTCAGCTAAAGTCACGGTCCCCGGGGGGCTGCATCTGGTCTTTGCAATAGTTGGGAGGCCCATGCATGTATTTTGCATATAATTTGCATAACGATTGCATCTGGTTTGCATGTGTCCACATTGAGGCCCCATTAGTACAATTTTTAAGTTGCTTCTAAACAACTCTCACTCAGAAGAAGTCCATCCGGGCTTTGTAGAGTCCAATTTCCATGATCTCTGGTGTCTCTCCCAGGCCCTCACCTGGAGGACTCACATCTACCCACCCCCCGGGGGCCTGGAGAAGCCCTGCTTCTGCCTTGCTGGAAGGGGTCACTCCAAACCCCTGCCCCAGAAACACGTATGGGCTTGACAGTAACTGTTTTTGATGGTGTGGGTGTAATCAAAACACCAACTGGGCTTTGAGCATGCTGATGTTTATGTTGGGGAGAGAGTGAGCCCCAGGGAAAGATCCTTGCTACACAGAACTTCCAAAGGTGGCCCCTTATAGGGAGGCTGTGCACACTCAGAAGAAAGGAGATGGGGTGTGGTGGTGGGCAGAGACAAAGGACTGATGGAGTCAGGAGCCCGTATCCTAGGGCTGGTGCCCCCACCAGTTGCCTGGGGGGTGGGGCGTGCCTCTCCCAGTCGCAGGAGGCTCATCTGTGGTGAGAAGGGCTTGTGCCAGAAAATGGGTCGTTCCAGTGCTTTCTATTCCTGTCTCTTTCAGGGGAACTACATTCCATAAAGCGTGGTGAGGCTCTCAGTGATCTCATGTGGTGGGCCTGGATAAAGTAGGGAGAACATCCTGGGTGGGGTAGAAGGAGCCTGGAGAGGGGAGAGGAAACTCCGTGGCCTCAGAGAAATGCACGGAGGTAGGGAAGGGTTGTTCCAGGTGGGCGGGATGCCAAGCACCAGAGTCCCGTGGGGCCTTACCACCAGGAAAGCCCGCATCTCTGCGGCTGCCAGCGACCCACTCTCCCATCTTCTCTACCCCCAGACACCAGTTCTCCCCCTCTGTCCCAGAAAGCCCACAGAGGCAGGAGGGAGGCTATAGTGTCTGGCAGAGGTCCCCACTCCTGTTCACCCACTGGGCCATTCCCTGGGGGACCCTAAATGCAAGGCTACACTTATCCCTGTCCAGGGTTATCTTGCCTTCCTGATGGCATCCTCCATCATTCCTGAAGATCGAGGCGGCTCATCTGTCACCAAGGGCTAGTGAAGGTTGGGAAAGTACGCTTCTGTGCGTGTGTATGGAAGTGGGGTGTGTGTGTGAGAGAGAGAGAGACAGACAGACGGAATGTGTCTGCATATGGGCGTGCATGTCCCTGTGAATAGAATTTGGGATCCTGTGTGTGGCCCCTCAGCCCGCCTCCATCCAGGTGTAGAGAGACTCCAGGCTGAGCTGGGGCGAGGAGGGGGGAGGGTGGGGGGGGGGGACATGACTGCCTCCCTCCGCTGTCTCCGCCTTCCCTAGGTTTCCTGTCTGGCAGATGGAAAGTGGCCTCATCATCTGCGGGGGAGACCCCAGGCTCTGGCGGGACTGGATCCCGCCAAGACCCTGAGCATCTCCTCTGCCGATGTCCTCCCCTCAACCCGCCTCCCCCAGGATGCGGCCCCAGGGCTGGCTCCCGAAACTTTTCCAGATAAAGAGAGTGTTTGATGTCAGCCACCTGGGAAGGGGGGAAGTGGGGTCCAACTGTCCTTTTAGCCCCCCGTTATGTGGACTTTTCCAAGTTCAGACAGGGTCCAGCCTCCTCCCTCTGAGTTGTGGGCCCCACATCTGGGCTGGGTAGGGAGTGAGAGGCAGGGCTGGGGCCCCTTGGAAAAGGATCACAGCTTCTGTAGTGTCGGGGGGGGGGGCGAGCAGGGGGGCGGATTCTTGCAGAACTTCCTGGGCAGTGCTGCCAGGCAGTCAGAACCCAGCCCCGGGGTGAGGAGCCCAGCTCAGTTCATGTCCCACCAGATGTCTCTCACTTTCTAAGCAGTGGTTACAAGGTCAAGAGCATGTTATGGATACCATGTATCCTGCCCCCAGCAGAAGGACTTCTCTGTTAAAGTCTGGAGAATATAAAAGCACATTCAGTGAATTTGTGGCAGAGGATGAAAGCCTGTCTTAGACATCATTTACAGGCATCAGAAACCCATTGGAGTTAGCTCAAGTGAGGTGGGTCATTGGAAGCAGACAGGGGAAACCAACTACCAAAAGGCTCCTCCCGCCCCTCTCCCAGAGCACCACAACCCCTAGACGCGGCCCTACTCTCCTCTGGCAAACTCTCTTGTTTAGCCTTCCCATTAGTCCCGCATAGCTATGGCTCATCACGCCAGGGTCTGTCCCTTCATCAGCCCTCAGGGACCCCGTGGTGGACTGAATAGTATTTCCCCCAAATTCACGTCCGCCTTGAATCTTAGAGTGTGACCTTCCTTGGAGAAAGGGTCTTTGCAGATGTAATGAGTTAAGATGAGGTCAGACTGGCTTAGACTGGGCCCTAAATTCAATGACCGGTGTCCTTATAAGAAGAGGAGAGGACACAGAGACACAAAGACAAAGGCCCCGTAGAGACCCCTGTAGACACACAAGTCAGAGGGCCACGTGAAGACAAAGCAGACAGTGGGGCGAGCCGGCTCGTAGCCAAGGGGTGCCTGTGGCCGCTGGAGGACACAAAGGATTCCTCCCGAGAGCCTGGAGGGGGCGTGGCCCTGCTGACCCCTCGATTTCAGACTTCTAGACTCCAGGATTGTGGGAGAGTAAATTTCTGTTGTTTCAAGCACCAAGTTTGTGATCATTTGTTACAGCAGCCCTAGGAAACCAATACACCAGGAAACCCCCCACCGGGAAGATGGGTCCCCTCCGTGTGTGTCCCAAAGCCTAAATGAGGCACCAACCAGCCCACTGTGCTCAGGGGTCTGCTTCCCCCACCAGGGACCCACGAGCCACTATGGCTGGGAATGGGCAGGTGGCACAGATGTGAGTCTCCGAGCTGTGCCCCATTTACACCCTTCCATCGTCACTTTACCCAGAGGGTGTGGGTTCACATCTTGGGTTGGAGGAAGGTCTCTCCGGGTATGCGCCTCGGGGTTCTGTGGCTTCCACACTCCAGTCAGCTACTTGGGTAAAGACCAAAGGCGGGGGTCACCTGTGCAGATGAGACGAAGCCACGAAGAAACGCCACCCTGCGGAGGAAAGAATCGGGATTCAAGAAGCTCTTTGCAGGTTAGAAAGTCAACAGGATGACCTCGAATGAGAATGCCCATAAAGGCCAACGCCCGGGCTCCAAGAGTCAGTCTCAGAAGGGAAATAGGCGGGCGCCTGGGTGGCTCAGTTGGTTAAGCGACTGCCTTCGGCTCGGGTCATGATCCTGGAGTCCCGGGATGGAGTCCCGCATCGGGCTCCCTGCTCGGCAGGGAGTCTGCTTCTCCCTCTGACCCTCCTCCCTCTCATGCTCTCTGTCTCTCATTGTCTCTCTCGCAAATAAATAAAGTCTTAAAAAAAAAAAAGAAGGGAAATAGGCTGAAGCCCGCCTTAGCAGCACTCCTGGTGAGAAAGCCCTGAAGGCTGTCGTTCCCCGGGGGCTAAGAATGAGCCAGGGCGGTGGTCCAGCTAGCTAAGAGCTTTAGTTGCACAGAGAGAAGCAGAGCCTCTGCTGCTTGGCTGGAGAGGTGCTGGGTGTCTGGGCTCCGGGCAGCCCACACCTGAGAGAGGCAGAGAAAACCCGGACGGCAGCAGGGAGCCAGAGGGACGGCCTGGCCACACTGGGCAGCAGAGCGTTAGTTTCAGATGCCGCGGAGGGGTCAGCAGTTAGTTACCAGTCGTCCCGGTCACCTCCAGACAGTGCCGGTGTGAGGAGGCACAGCTAGCCAACAGGGACCTTCTGGGGCCTATTCCAAAGCGGTGGCTGCGGAGGTGTTGCCGCTGCGTCCCCCAACAGGGTCATCTCAGCTGCAGAGCCCGGGCCTCGGTCTCCCCGCACGCCAGGGCTCCTAAGAGCCGTGCGCCCCGCGGGTGGGCCGTTCCCCGGGAGCCCCGCGTCGCGGCCCGCCCCAGGGGTCTGGCTCCGCTTCTCCGCCGCGCACGCGGGCGATCGTGGTGCATGGGTGTGTTTGGGGGCCTCCCAGGGCGCGACGGCCTGCGCCCCTGCCACCCCGGGGCTGCTCCCTCCTTCACCTCTCGCGTGCAGGCGGCCCCTCGGGCGTCGGCTCGGAGCTGGGGCGGGGGGCTGGCGGCCGAGAGGGGGCCGGCGGAGGCGAGCGACGCGGCCCCAAGTTTATGCTAATCCGCGCAGAGCCCGCCTCCCACCTCCCCTCCGCGGCCCCAGCGGCGAGCAGCGCGGGCCACTCGGCGGGACGCAGCCGCTGCGAAGCGCCAGGCGGCCGGGCCAGCGAGCTCCGGGGGCCGCGAGCGGCGGCGGGACCCGGCGGGAGGGCGAGCGGCGGGGCGGCGCGGCGGGCGGACGCCGGGCGGGGGCCCCGCGCGGGGCCAGGTGGAGAGAGCCGCGGGCCGCGATGGGCCGCCGCCTGCCGGTGTGGCTGTGCGCCGTCGCGGCGCTGCTCTCGGGGGCGCAGGCCAGGGGCACCCCGCTCGTCGCGCGGCCCGCGCCGCCCGGTGCCCCCCGCTACAACCTCTACACGACGGGATGGCGCCCGCGGCTGCGCCCGGGGCCGCACAAGTAAGCGCGGGCCGCGCCCGGGCGGGAAGCCGGGAGGGATGGGGCCCGGGCGGCGCTCCCACCTGCCCCGACCGCGCGCGGGAGACCGGGGGGGGGGGCGCGGGGAGGACGCGCCGGGCACCCGAGGCCGAGCCCCGGCCCGGACGGGCGCCCCACGCTCCGGGAGGCTGCGGGGCTGGCGAAGAAAAATAAGCCGAGGGGGCCTGGCGCGGCGGCTGGGACCTGGCAGTGCCCGCGGAAACCTTTCCAGCGAAGTAACATTTTCCAGCTGCGCTGTGTGCAAACTCCCGGCGCCGCGGACCAGGTGGAGGGAGAGGAGGGAGGGTCGTCGGCGCGAGGCACACGCGGGCCTCTCCCATGCATGTCCCCCGCGCGCCCTCCCTTCTCTCCCCTGCCCCGCCAGGTAGGAGATGGAGCCCAGCGCCCTGCAGCCCGCCCCCTCCCGCGGTCAGCCTGACCCCAGCCACCAATGGGGAAGCCCAGCGGGTTTGGGCCACAGAACTGGTGGGGGCGCCTGGGTCCTGGGCCCGAGTTGTGGCCCCAGAGCCCAATAGCAGCCCACAGGTGGCTGGCTTATGCCAGGCAGCCACCTCCCCACCCCTTGTAGTCTGTGAGGGCGGCTCTTGCCTCGCGGAGGCCTCAGCTTCTGGGCCTCGGTAGCCAGTGGCTTGGGAATTGGCCCCAGTCAGGTGAGTTAGGGGCTCTACCTGGGGTGCTGGGTGAATTGTATTGTAGGAGAGTGCTCAGCCCATAGCTGACATTCAGCAGGCTTGGCATATCAGAGCAAGCTTCCTGGGGAAGGCAGTACAAGAAGTGATCCGAGAGTGAGAAACCAGGAGCCAAGGGTGGGGGCGTGGGGGGCCGGAAACTACAAGATGGCATGCATTCCCCAAGGAGTTAGGGGAGGAAGGATGAGCAGTGTGGTCTCCCAGGAATGAGGAGAAGGGACAGAAGAGAGATGGGGATCTGGTCCCCTGGGGAGGCCCACAGATGGGGAAGGCAGGTATAGGCTCCTCAACAGGCCTGGCCAAGGCCAGATATTCCAAGGATGCCGTCCGTTCTCCCTTGCAGGGCCCTCTGCGCCTACGTGGTGCACAGGAATGTGACCTGTGTCCTACAGGAGGGAGCAGACAGCTACGTGAAGGCTGAGTACCGACAGTGTGGATGGGGGCCCAAGTGCCCCGGGACAGTCACGTGAGTGCACCCCCATCCCACCCACTCGGGACTGCTGGGCACAAGCCCCAGGCCTGCCTCTCTCTCAGGGCAGCAGCCAGCACCACAAGGGGATGGAACTCCTTGGACTCCAAAGAACCTATTACCCCAGGTCCCACGCAGGCTGGCTGGAGAAGGCCAGGGAGGAGACATGGCAGGTTCAGTTTAGGGCCCACAGGGGGGCCGGGGAGGGTTCCCAGAAGACACACAGAATGAGGCAAGGAAGAAGCAGCAGAGGCAAAGAGGGTTGAAAGTGAACAGAGAGGGCAGAGGGTCACACTGACAACAGTGGACGCCAAAGGGGCCCTGGGAAGACCCAGGGAGGGCTGCGGTGACTGTGGAGAAGGCAGGCCAAGGGTGAGGGGATGGAAGCCAGGTTGCTGGGGCTTAGGTCAGGCAGACGGGGCTGTAGAGGGTATTGGGATGGTGCACAAGTGTGATGCACAGGTCTGTACTTGGAGAGGCTCAAACGCATGTCTGAAAACAATCCCATTTGCTCCAGTGTGTCAGTGGGTGAACAGGTACATGGCTGAGCAGGGGAGGGAGTGGGCCTGGCCAGGCCTGCCCCGCACAGCTGGGCCTTCCCTTCTGTGCTCAGAATCAGGGATGCCGCCCACCGGCCTGGGTGGCCAGAGCTGAGTTCCCAGAGTAGGCTAGGAAGGAATAGAGAAAACTAAGGGGACCGGTGGGAGCCAAGAGTGGCCCCAGTGCACTGAGAAGGGCTGCCCACTCCGGCTCCTGGGCAGCACCCCCTCGCACACCCAAAGGGAAGGGCTGAGGTGGTGACAGGATTCTTCCAGGTACCGCCAAAGCCAGAGTGGAATTTCTGATGGCAGCATGAGCTAAAGGTGGTCCAAACTGGCCCTGGGGACACTGGGGCTAAATCCCTGCTAGTGTTCTCCCCAAGCAAACAGGGGAGTTCCTGTTCCCCAAGCAAACTAGAACACTAGAACTCTCCCCTGCACCTGCTCCTTAACCCTTCTCTGACCCTCTGCAAGGCCTGGCTCCGCCCCACCGCCCTGTCACCTTATGCACAGAAAAAGGAAAAACTTTGGCGGGGAGTGGAGGGGGGCAGAGAATCCAGATCTTGCACTGCGAGGCAGGAGCCTCAGTCCACAAGTACAGGGCCCTGCCCTCTCCCCCTCTCTGGCCCAGGTACCGAACAGTGCTCAGACCCAGATACAAGGTCAACTACAAGACGGTGACGGACCTCGCCTGGCGGTGCTGCCCTGGCCTCACTGGAGAAGGCTGTCCCGAGCACCTGACCGACCTCGGGGCCACCCCAGCCCAGCCAGAGCCTGAGCCCCAGATTCCCTCAGGGCAGCTGGGCCCAGGGCCCCAGCCGCCTTCTTCTAGCAGAGCGGCCCCCAGCCCCTATGGTGAGTCTGCCCATGGAGACCCTACCAGGTGATCAGGTTTCTTGGGGGCGGTGGAGAGGGGCCTGACGCAGGCGGGCTGGGCTCTGGCAGGGCTGGGGAGGGTGCATCTCACACTGGGCTTGAGGCAAAGCTCACAGACTCCTCCTGAAGCTGAGAAAGCTATATGCTCAGTGGGAAGGTCAGCTTAGAACAGAAACTCTCCCGGGTGGCCTGGCAACAGGACAGGTGGAGGGAGGCAGGCCAGTGATGCCCCTAGGGTTCTCTCCTCCTCTTTCCCAGGAAGCAAAGGCTCAGGGCTGTTCGGTGAGCGGCTGGAACGTCTGGAGGGTGATGTCCAGCGCCTGGTACAAGCATATGGTACCCTCAGCGGCCTGGTGGCCGGCCGTGAGGACCCCAACAGGATGCCTGGCAGTCCAAGGGCTCCTGCCGCTCCTGTGGGCTTCGGGGTCATCTCCGAGGGGTTCGTGAGGCCCGGAGACAGAGCCAGAGGGCCACTCACCCCTCCCCTTGACGAGATCTTGAGCAAGGTGACGGAGGTGAGCAACACGCTGCGGACCAAGGTGCAGCTGCTGGACAAGGTGCACGGGCTGGCCCTCGGCCACGAGGCTCACCTGCAGCAGCTGCGGGAGGCGCGTCCGTCTCCGCTCACCTCGCTGGCGCTGCTGGACGAGTACGTGGACCGACGGCTGCACCGGCTCTGGGGGAGCCTGCTCGATGGCTTCGAGCAGAAGCTGCAAGGCGTCCAGAGCACCTGCGACCTGCGGGTGCAGGAGGTGAGGCAGCAGTGCGAGGAGGGCCAGGCGGCTAGCCAGCGGCTGCACCAGAGCCTGGACGGCCGGGAGCTGGCCCTGCGCCGGGAGCTGGCCCAGCTCGGGACCAGGCTGCAGGGCCTGAGCGTGGCTGGCGGGAGCAGCTGCTGCAGCCGGCTGCCCTTGATCAGCGCCCGCGTGGACAACCTCGAGAGGAACCTACAGGCAGTCACCGAGGCCCAGCGGGGCCACGGCCCCCTCACCAGGGATGAGCTCGAGCGGCTCTCTGCTGCCATGCTGGACGGGGGTGTGGACGGGCTGCTGGAGGGCCTGGAGACCCTCAACGGGACGGAGGGTGGAGCGAGGGGCTGCTGCCTGGGCATGGAGGAGGGCGGGTGGGAGGCCGGCAGCTTCAGGAGCATGCTGGAAGAGCGAGTGCAGAGCCTAGAGGAGCGCCTGGTGACGCTGGCGGGGGAGCTAAGCCACGACGGCGCCCCCCCGGGCAGGCCAGCTCGGCCCCTGGTGCAGACGGAGCTGGCGGTCTTGGAACAACGGCTGGTCTCCCTGGAGACCTCATGCACCCCCAGCACCACCTCAGCCGTCCTGGACAACCTGGCGGCAGAGGTGAAGGCCTGGCAGAGCCGGAGCAAGGCCCTCCTCCGCCAGGTGGCCAGCCACGCCGCCCTGCTCCAGCAGCTCAATGGCACCGTGGCCGGGGTCCAGGAGCAGCTGACAGAAGCGACGGGCAGCTCACTTCAAGGTGAGATCACCCTGCTCAAGGTCAACCTGAACTCCGTGAGCAAGTCACTCACGGGCCTCAGCGACTCCGTCAGCCAGTACTCTGATGCCTTCTTGGCTGCCAACTCATCCCTGGGCGAGCGCGAACGCAAGGTGGAGGCTGAGGTTCACGCCATCCAGGAACAGGTCAGCAGCCAAGGCTCTCGGCTTCAGGCTGGCCACAGGCAGGTCCTGGGCCTGAGGGGGGAGCTGGAGCGACTCAGGGCCGGTGTGGCCGATGTGGCCGGCGGGCTGAGCCGCTGCCAGGACACAGCCCAGGAACTGCAGCAAGTGGTGGGCCACTTCGACCGGAGGGTGGCTCAAGTGGAGGGTGCGTGTGGGAGGCTGGGCCGACTGGCTGCCGGCCTGGACCACTTGCCCACCGAGTCGCTCAGGCCCACGGAGGGCCTGTGGGGCTATGTGGACCAGCTGAACCGCACGCTGGCTCAACACGCACAGGACATCGCCCGCCTCCGGGATGACCTCCTGGACTGCAGGGCCCAGCTGGCCGAGCAGGCGCGGCCCCGGCCAGCCGACTAGGCGGGCCAGACGGGACCGAACCCCAGATCCCGCCAACACTGGGGATGCCGCTCCAGAGCCCAGCCTCGCCCAGCAGTGCCTCCCAGCCTCCCGGGGCCAACGGGGATGCCACTTCAGAGGCCACGGAAGGAATAGCCTTGGTCCAGCTCCATGGGACTGTCCCAACCATGAAAATCAACACTCAGTGCCGTATCAACTGGACAATGCAGGATCATGGTCAAGGCAAGGACATCATGCCTGAAGGCCGGGCGGACCTGAGTGACCTCACAATCCAGCATGCACATTGCTCTTCTGCAGACACACCAGGAGCAGCATCTGGATGAAGACCCGCAGGTCCAGTCACCTGTCCACATCTCCCCTTGTCCCGGGGCAATAGCCCCCAGCCTGTGGAGGCTTCTGGTTCCCTTGTCTCCTTGACTTCCCTCCCTAGCCGTCAGGACCCAGTTTCTGTGGGAAGGTGGCGGCCACCGGCACTGTCCTCCCACCTGGCAGCTTTGTGGATAGTTTCTGAACCAAGGACCAGAGGTTTCCAGCTCCCCCCGTCCTTTCGGACAGAGCAGAAACACAAAGACTCAGCTGAGAGGTTTTTTATTTCTTTCGACCCTCCCCTCAGGTGAGGGCTTACTTAGGCAGCTGTAGATTCCCTGAGAAAAGGACAGGGTCCGGACCCGCTGTTTAGAGACCCACCTCAATTTATTCTTTTCCTTCTCTTTCCCAAAGATGCTTCAGGGCCTCTGGTCCCCACACCCTCCTCTCCTTTCCATCTGGGGGGAAATCCTGCCCACCCCCCCACCCCCCCAGGTTAGGGAATCTCTCCAGAGAGTAGATGTCATGGCCTAAGTGAGGCCAGACTCTGAACGGGAAGCCAGGGGAGAAAAAGGGCTCCAGGCCTAGTTTCCAGCATCCTAGCACAACCCCGGCCCCGCCTGGGTGTTCGCTAAGTGGTGAGAAACTCATGTCTGACAACCTGAAAACAGTGTTCATCTGGCCTGCAGAGTTTCCAGAGACCCTGATGCCCATCTCTGTTGAGGCTCCTGGCCTCAGTTTCCCCTCAGCAGCACAGGCCTTCCTGTGCTATGTTCCAGGTCTCTATAGCCCTGCCTTCTGGTTTCTTCCCTCCACTGTGGTGCTGTTGGGGGAGGGCAGGCCTGGATTAAAGCTTTTAGCCCGTCTAAAGGTATTTTCTTCCCCAGGGACGGTAGGCCGGAAGGCTGCAGTGGGCTGCCAGCCCGGCTTCCTACAGCCCCTCAGGCAAGAGCTCGCTCAGCAGCTGTGTGGGCGCCGAATTGACCAGCAAAGTCTAGGGAGGGTGGGCAGGTCACCGCCACCCACACTGGCAGGGTTTGGGGCTGTGTCCTCAGGGGAGGTGCTCAGAGGAACAGGAGAAGCAGCTGGGTATGGGAGAGGCCCAGGGGGAGCCACACTCCCTCCGCCCTTGCGCTGCCCTGGGATCCCTGTTCTTTGATGTCTGAGCACCCAGGGTTGGGGTGTGCTGAGATCCTGGGGCACAAGGGAGAGCAGTGAGGTCTGGTGCAAGAGCTGTGGGAAGGGGCCAGGGTTATGGAAGGGTCTGGCTTCGGAGGGTTTGCTCCATGCTGCCCAGATGCTGCTCAAGCACTCCCCCCTGCTGCCGCCAACCCCCTCCTGTGTGGGCAGGTCTCGAGCCTCACAGGCCTCCCTCTCCTCTCTGTGCTGTCAGGAGTTGAGGCAGTGTACCAGGGGGACGTCAAGGGCACGGAGAATCCTGCAAGGGCCCAGGTGATCATCATTTCACTGCTGGGCAGAGCCCTGCTGAGGCCTGGAGCGGCTGCCCCACCTCCTGCGGATCAGCTGGAGAAGGCAGGAGACAGGACAGGGGGGAGGGTCTCTGTGGCTGCCAGTCAGCCCTCAGCCCCCTCCTTCCCTTCAGTGGACTGGCCCCATGGCAGCCAGCTTGCAACCTCCTGTTCCCTGGGAACACCCAGTCAGTTCTGGGGCCTGGCCAGGGAGGAGGGGGCAGCTGGGGCCGGTTCAGGCCAGGGCATCGAGGTCCACAGTAACCAGTGGCTCCCGCCAGTAGCAGAAGTTACTGTATTCAGGGCTGGCCAGGTCTGTGCTGGGGCCACGGGCCACAGGTGGGAAGAGGAGCTCAACCACCTCGCCCAGCCGCTCATACCTGTGGGCAGAACAGGGTCAGCACCGAGAGCCTGAGCGGCCACCAGGCCCCAGCCCCCACCACATCAGGCAGAGGAGACCTGGGTGGAAGTGAGGCCCAGGGAGAGGCTGGGGCATGGGGATGTGGGAGGGGTGGGGGGCCCATGACAGGGTTTGGCCTCACGTGGATTTGTGGTTCTTCATGAGCTCCTGGATGAGCTCTCCCCGGGGGTTGACTGTGAAGATTCGAGATTCAGGGAGGCCCACCTGCCGGTAGGCAGTGACATCCTATGGGGGACAAGGAGGGGCTGATGGGCTGGGGGACAGGGAGGAGGCGGCCCGGCCCGTGGGGAGGGGACACACTCACGTTGGGCCTGTTCCCAAAGGCAGCATAGAAGGGCTGTTCGTTGGGCAGGAACAGCTGCCGGATGTCACTCAGGCAGGCAATTTTGAACACCTCTGGTTTCTTCTCAATCACCTCCCTGGGGCAGCCAGGGCCATGGGCAGGAGAGGGAACCGAGGAGGGGCAGCCATCGGAGGACGGCAGGGTCAGGTGACACGGGGCGGGATTCAACTGACACCCAAGCATGGCCGGATGCTGGCCTGGCCTGAGCCGCCAGTGAGCCTGTCACTCCCCGCAAGGACCCCTGGGCTTGTATCTCGTAGGGCTGGTTACCTGTGGAGCGCGGAGAAGAGGCTGCTGGGAGACAGCAGGATGGGGCCCTTGGGGAGGCCGCAGCCCCGCTCGCTCACCCACTGTAGGTAGGCCTTGGTGAGGTCAGCCATGCCAATGGCCCGTGCCGAGCAGTACAGGAACTTGAACCCGTTTCTGGAGGTGGGGGTAGGAGAGGCCCAGAGCCATCAGAGACCAGCCATTCCTTGGCTTTGGCCAGCTCAGTGCAACCCCGCAGCTCTGGCCTTCAAACCCAGAGGCCTTTGCAGGGAAGGGACTTAGGGAGAACATCGGGGAGAGGTGCCCGCAGTAGCTGTCCCAGGGAGGAGGAGCGCGGACAGCGTCCTGAGGCCCAGCGGACCAGCAAGGACAAAGGTTTGAGCAAGTCTGTAGGCCTCTCCTGCAGCATGAAGACCAGCAGTTAGACTCAGAGGCCAGACGACAGGAGACAAGGGTTTCATGGGAGAACGAAGGACCATCCAGGGACATGCCCGGGGTTTCTTCCCTCGTGGGTCCCCAAGCCTGGATTCCTGGGGCAAGGGCTGTGGTGGCCTCAGACATCCTGTCATTCCTTCCCTGGGGCCCTGCCCCAGCCCAGGCACTCACAGGTGGATTTTGTGGTAGAGACTGGTGATGCCCTGATGTGTCCAGTCTTTCCCCAGCTGGGGCAGAATGTGGCCCAGAGCGTCTGACCTACAGCCACAGAAGAGGGGTCACTCTGAGGCAGCCCCACGTAGCCCTCGCGTTCCACCACCCCCAGCCCCCAGGACAGTGCACTGGGGGGGCGGGGGGGGAGGAGGGCCTTTCTTGACATCCCCCTTCCCCCAGCACAGAGGAGGCCAGTCCCAGGCCCTCCCTCTCTCCCCTGGCCAACCAGGCCTCACTTGGTAATGGTCCCGTCGATGTCCGAGATGACCACCTTGTCGTCCCACTTCCACAGATAGATGGTGGCCCTGCAGCGGCAGGTGCCCTGGTACTGGGTGGTCACACTGAAGACCACATCATTGGCACCTTCTTGCAGGTTCAGGCGCCGCTGGGGCCAGGCAAAGGGGGGAAGCTGTGATCCCCATGGGCCTCTCATTCCCCTCCGCCTCCCAACTCAGAGAACCTGCCTGAATTCATCAGAGACAGCCACACGCAGACACATCCGTACGGGTGGAGGGCGACCTCAGGGAGTGAGGGAGTACAGAGTGCTGGTCGGGGCCCACACGGGCCCAGACACAGGAGCCCTAACCTCCCTTCTTGCCCCCGTTGGCATGAAGCTCACAGGCAAAGCCTGGCCCATGGCTGCCACCCAGGTTTCTCAGGTCAGCGCTAAGGCTGACCCTGCTCCTGGCATGCAGACACCCCACTCCCTCGAGATCCTCACAGGTAGCCTCCTGCCTGGGGCTAGGGTACTCGTGACATCCATCCATAGAGACTCCTAGCCCTGTCCTTGGTCCATAGAGAAGAATCAGGGCAGCTCTCAGCCACAGCTGGTGACCAAGGCTATTGGGCCCTGGCTGACCCCAAAGTGGGTGTCACACTGGGGTACCGTACAGATGGTCGCTGCCCGCCCTGGGCACCGCCCTGACAGAGCCCCACTTGGGGGCCAGTGACTAAGCTCAAAGACAGGGCTTGGGGGCAGGGACGGCCAATATCTGAGGGGCTGTCATCAGCCTTTGATTCCTTCAGAGTGGCCTCTAAGAGCTGATCCAGAGCCGGGAACCCACCGCAGGTAGATACTTTAAGACAACATAGGGAAGACTTTTCCCATAAGAGCATCCAACAAAGAAATGGGCTGGTGCATAAAGAAGCAAGCCCCTGACCCTGGAGGTTTTCAAGCAAAGGCTGTTAGGGAGGCTGCCGAGGGGATGGATTCTGGGCTCTGGTAAACTCAAGGCTCCACAGAGCCAAATTATCTCAGCCCCAGCCCCGCTCCCTGAACAGAGCTACGCACACACTCACTATCTGATTGGAGGAGAGGCGGAGGGACTTCTTGTAGGCGGGAGTCGAGGGTGGCAGAGAGGGGGCGTCCAGGATCACAGGGCTCTCTGGGGCATCATCCTCACTACTCAGGACATCAGTCTTCTCCCTGCAGGCAGCCTGGCTCTCAGGCCACTCTCCCCAGCCAAGGCCCTACACTCCCAGTAGATGTTCACCCCTCAGCCCATGCCACAAGGAACCTGGGGCTTGTCCCTGTTCCTCCAGAGGATCAGAAACCCCACCATGGTGTCACCCATTTGGAGAGGGGTACAGACATAAGGACGCAGCCCAGCAGTACGCACCCAGAAAGGGGCCAGCAGAGCTGAGGCTCCTGGCCCTTGGTGCCTAGCCAAGGTAGCCTTGGAGATGTTTATCTGTAAAACCTAGGGGTGTGTCTTAGGGCTTATTACCAATCCCACCTGCTTAGGCTTCAGCTGACCTGCCCTTGGTCATCCCCCACCCAAGCTTGGGTGTTCTGGTCACTTGAGAGATGAAAAAGGCAAGGTCAGCCCGCCCCTGGCAAAGAGGGGAGGCTCTGCCCCTCCTTAAGACAGTAGTCCCTGGTCTGGGTCAGGAGTCTGGGCACCCGGTCCAACTCTGCCAGTTCCCAGCTCTAGGACTTTTGGTGTAGCTCTAGGCCTCAGTTTTCCCATCTGTGAAATGGGGACATTTCTCAAGAAAAAGAAAGGGTGTAGAAGTGATTGGGCAGTGACAAAGAACCATAGCTGGGGGAGAGGTGCTGGCATCATCCCTGCCCCCACAGGGATCACCCCGAGGCTTGGCTCCAGCTGCAGAGCTCCAGCCATGAGGTCCAGCTCACCCCTGCTGCTCCTGGGCTGTGGTTTTCTCCGTCTGGACACTGCTCTGTGGGAAGAACATACATCCAGTGAGCCCCACCTCCTGCCTTGCTGACCACGCGCTTTGACCTTGACCACTCACCTCCCTGGCAGGGAAGTCCCGGCGTCGCCAGGAAAACCACCACCGTCCACCCTTCCGGGGCATCTTCTCCTTTTCCAGTTTGTCCACAGTGCTCTGAGGGCAGATAAAGGCCATGGCATTTTCCCCTGCACCACAAAAACCTACCTTTCATCACCCCCATGAACCCAGAGTCTGGGGCTGACCCTAGAGCAAGGTGCTATCAACATCTGGAGGCTGAGGAAGCATACTCACCTCCATGCTGGGACTCCAAGCAATGACTCATGGAGCTAAGCACAGGAGACCAAGGGCCATTCCTGCCAATCCCCACCCTACCCCAGCCTTGACCCCCTAGCTCTTGCCCAGCCTCGGCCAGGCCTCCAGATCCTACTAAAGTAGCTGAAGGCAGTGCTTTGGGACTTTCTCAGGATCTAGTACTCTCTGCATGATGCCACCAAGTGACAGCAGGAAGAACAGTCTATAGCCAGTA